TCCGAGTCCTCCAGCAGGTAGGAGACGCGCGCGTTCTGGCAGCAGTCGGCATCATTCGCTTTTACAGTGAAAATGGAAACACCGGGTGTGTTGTTCTCCGTTAAATAAATAGAGTAAGACCGGTGTTCAAATACTGGTGCATTATCATTGACATCGGATACTCTGATATGTAACATCTTGTTACTAAAGAGAGAGGGTGAGCCGTGGTCCGCAGCTTTGATTGTAATGTTATATTCTGAATTTGTTTCTCGGTTCAGATATTCCTCAGTTTGTAATATGAAATAATTTGTTAAAGACGGTCTTATTACAAATGGGCTATTTTCAGCAATCACACATGTGACTTCGCCATTTTCTCCCCAGTCAAAGTCTTTAACGTTAATAACTGCGACAGTAGTTCCCGGTGAAGCGTCTTCGGAAATTGGATTAGTGAATGATGTTAACGTTATAATGGGAATGTTATCATTCACGTCTACTATATCAATCGTAAGTGCACAAGAATCTGTCAAACCACCGCGATCTCTAGATTCAATGTTTATTTCGTATTTCTGCATACTTTCAAAATCCACACTTCCACTAACAAAAATCTCTCCGGATTTTTCATCTATTGCGAATACGTCACTATGTTTGTCTGTGATATGTCTGAAGGCGTATGTCACTTCACCATTAACGCCCTTATCCGAATCGGTTGCACTTACTTTTGTCACAAATATCCCTTTGGCCGAATTTTCTGCAACTTCGGTTCTATAGAGCTTCTTGGTAAACACTGGAGCGTTATCATTTGCATCCAAAACCTTTACATTTATTCTCATCGCACCAGACCTCGGTGGGTGACCTCCGTCTATAGCAGTTAATGTTAGAGACAAGTCCTCCTGTTTCTCTCTGTCTACGGGGGACTGTAGCATCATCTCAATATATTTAGTACCATCAGGACGGGTCTCCTGTTTCAATACGAAGTTATCAGTCGGATTTAGACTGTAGCTCTGTATGGTATTAATACCGACATCGGGATCATAAGCGCTGTCCAGCAAAAAGCGCACACCGGGTAACGCCGCCTCACTGATCTCAATCTTCATTTCATCCTTCGGAAATGCCGGAGCATGATCGTTTATATCTATGATTTCTATAGTAACCCTATGCAAGTGGATTGGATTTTCGAGAATAATCTCAATATTAAAACTGCAAGGAGATATTTGATTGCAAATCGTCTCCCTGTCTATTCTCTCATTGACCACCAATATTCCTTTGTCTGTGTTCAGCTCCACGTACCGACTGCTGTCTCCGGCAACGATCCGAGCTCGGC